TCAGCTTCAGTCTCAGTTTCAGCTTCAGTTTCAGTCTCAGTTTCAGCTTCAGTCTCAGTTTCAGCTTCAGTTTCAGTCTCAGTTTCAGCTTCAGTTTCAGTCTCAGTTTCAGCCTCAGCTTCAGTCTCAGCTTCAGCCTCAGCAGAAGACCATGCCTGAAGCTTCATTCACGTTTGGAAGAAAAAGGAGAAGCAGCAAAAAGAAATGAAGCACCGTCACCTTTAAAACAGCAGATTGTCAAATCTAAAGTTTAGAAAATACATCTTTATATTTCTGCAAACATCAATCTGTGCAAAAGAAACGAGCAGGTCCAGATGGTTCTGGAAAACCAGGACTCATGAAGTCACTGTTCACTGTGGAGGACCCAGATCAGGTCTGGACCTGGGTCAGGTCTGGGCTGGTCCAACAGTCAGACTGTTGGTGAAGTTTAAAGGTCATAAAAACATGAGTTTGTTGTTGAATGTGTGAAAAACATGATCAGGATTTATTCCGTTAAAGATTCTGCTGCAGATTTTAATTCATGCAAAATGAAAGATTTAGATTTGGTTGACAGAGATTTATCATGATTTTTAAAATCAAATGAGATGAAAAAACAGGAAGCTGCTGATTAACTTCAGTTCTGTGGGACTTTACAGAAAATATTTATAATTTATTAAAAGTTTCTTTTAATTACAGGATATCTGAATGAAAAACTAGTTTGTTTGGATTTCTGAAGAAAGTGCTGCAGATTTGAAGAGATTTATTTAAATTTGATCATCAGATCAAAGGTTTTTAATGTCTAACCTGCAAACATTAAACTGATTATATGTTTATTTAAATAAAACGTTTGGATGAAGTAAACAAAGTGTTTTAATCCGTCTCCAGAGGAGGAGTTTTGTTTTTTTGATTATCTCTTGGTTTTTGACTTAAAATTCAGTTTCTACTCTTCTGAGGAAGTGATTTACAGTAAGAGTGTTTTAAGAAACTAATTTGATTGTTTTGTTTTGGATCCTTATTTGTTTGGAGATGTTGTTGTTTACTTGTTTCTTCTAGGTTTAAGAGTTAGGATTAATGCTCTCTGTGTAGTTTGGAGTATAATATCTATTTAAGGTTACATGAAAATAGTTTCTGTCAATAAGTGCATTAACATGACAGGACTGTTGGGCCGTTTGAGCAGGTTCTGGTTCTGGTCCACCATGCACAGAGGGTATACGGGTGGTCCTGATGGCTGTAAGACCAGGCTTACATGCAGGAAGTGTCTTCAGTTCATGTGGGCTTTATTCAATGAAGATGTCCTCTGTGGGACACGAGTATCCAATGTGCTCCTTGTAGAACTGCTGAAACGCTCTCCTGAGGAGACAGGAAGTAATCAGATTACTTACAGGAGAATTACTATTGTTCATTAAGAGTACTTCAGTATCTGTCTCACCTCACAGACTGTCTTACAGCCTCTGTCTCACAGCCTGTCTTACAGCATCTGTCTCACAGCCTCTGTCTTACAGCCTCTGTCTCACAGCCTCTGTCTCACAACCTGTCTCACAGTCTGTCTTACAGCCTCTGTCTCACAGCCTCTGTCTCACAACCTGTCTCACAACCTGTCTTACAGCCTCTGTCTCACAGTCTCTGCCTCACCTCACAGCCTCTGTCTCACAGCCTCTGTCTCACCTCACAGCCTCTGTCTCACAGCCCCTGACTCACAGACCTTGTCTTACAGTCTCTGCCTCACCTCACAGCCTCTGTCTCACAGCCTCTGTCTCACAGCCTCTGTCTCACAGCCTCTGTCTCACATCACAGCCTCTGTCTCACAGCCTCTGTCTCACAGCCTCTGTCTCACAGCCTGTCTCACAGCCTCTGTCTCACATCACAGCCTCTGTCTCACAGCCTCTGTCTCACAGCCTCTGTCTCACAGCCTGTCTCACAGCCTCTGTCTCACAGCCTGTCTTACAGCCTCTGTCTCACAGCCTGTCTCACAACCTGTCTCACAGCCTCTGTCTCACAGCCTCTGTCTCACAGCCTGTCTCACAG